CAGCCCCGCCCGTGGCCTCCAGGACTCACCGATCCAGCACTCCAAGCGCGCGCAGGGCGTGGTCTTCACCACATCCGGAGGGTCCACCCCAACGTTCAGGCACAGCACCAGGGCGACGCTGACCGTCTTCATCTGCAAACGCAACAGGAAGAACAAACATTTAGTCTGAGGCCAGTCTGCACACGTCCCGGAAGCCGTGACGTCCAGCTCCGCGCCCGCCTCAGCCTTGCCGCCCTCGCCCCCTCGCCCCCTCGCCCTCGCCTGCAGGCAGGGGCTCTCCCTGGAGGGGCTCGGGGAGAGGGTTAGGGTTCGGAGTAAAGTGGGCAGATGGCAGGAGCCGTGACGTCCAGCTCCGCGCCCGCCTCAGCCTTGCCGCCCTCGCCCCCTCGCCCCCTCGCCCTCGCCTGCAGGCAGGGGCTCTCCCTGGAGGGGCTCGGGGAGAGGGTTAGGGTTCGGAGTAAAGTGGGCAGATGGCAGGAGCCGTGACGTCCAGCTCCGCGCCCGCCTCAGCCTTGCCGCCCTCGCCCCCTCGCCCCCTCGCCCTCGCCTGCAGGCAGGGGCTCTCCCTGGAGGGGCTCGGGGAGAGGGTTAGGGTTCGGAGTAAAGTGGGCAGATGGCAGGAGCCGTGACGTCCAGCTCCGCGCCCGCCTCAGCCTTGCCGCCCTCGCCCCCTCGCCCCCTCGCCCTCGCCTGCAGGCAGGGGCTCTCCCTGGAGGGGCTCGGGGAGAGGGTTAGGGTTCGGAGTAAAGTGGGCAGATGGCAGGAGCCGTGACGTCCAGCTCCGCGCCCGCCTCAGCCTCGCCCCCTCGCCCCTCGCCCTCGCCCTCGCCTGCACGCAGGTGCTCTCCCTGGAGGGGCTCGGGGAGTAGAGGGGGCAGGCGGCAGGTGAGGCTTCCCCAGGACACGTTTCCAGAAAGAAGTGCTTGATCAAAAGCGTCACCATTTCAGGCGCTTGTAACGTTCTGCCAAATTCCTCTGCAAAACCCCTGCACAGACTCACACGGGTCAGCTGAGGTCGCGCTGCGCGGACTGAGGGAGAGGCCGCTGCCTCGGCGGCTCCTCGGCTCCTCTGTGGGTTTCCGGCGCGTGCACACCGGCCCCAGCGGCCGCTGCTGGCTGACTCACACCTCCCTCCACACGAAAGGCTCGCCCGCGGGGCTGGTTGCAAGCACTGCCCTCGTCTGGTGTTTGCCATCTGATGTCTCTGACACACCACAGCCGGGGTCCGTCCCTGAGGAGGCGTCACCGAGACACCTCCCCACACCTGTTCCCCCCCAGCGTCCCTGGACCAGGGAGCCAGGCCACCTGCCTGGACGCGCAGCAGAGAGCTGGTCCTCCTTCATTCACTCCCTCAGATGCACGTTAGGTACATCAGTCACTCAAAGAAAAAACCCCGGGGGGGGGGCAGCATCTCAAGCAGGGGCCTTGCAGCTGTGAGCCCCAACTCCTGCCCGGCCGGCCGAGCCGCTCCCGCTCCTGGGCCTGCCCGCAGCCACTGCTCATGGCCTCCACCCAGCCCTCACTCCAGACAAATTACAATCCCTCCACCTCCACCTCCACAGCCGCAGCTAATGAACTTTTTAAAATTCTAGTAAGAGAAATAATTTCTGATTTGATTGTTAAAGTTCTTGTTTCCGAAGCTCTAAGTCCCTCAGACAGAAATACTAGTGGAAGTGCTGGAATCACTTTTCTGCCCTCGAGCCGGCTCCACGCCGCCCCACCCAACACACCGAGCGCAGGGGTTTCTCCGTGGCCGCCTCCCGGGGAGCAGCGGGGAGCAAGGCTCGGACGCGGGCGGGACACGCCACACTCCGCAGATGAAGACGTGAAAGGGTTCGCTTACACACACACCTCGTCCGACCCCCTGTGCTACACCTTTTAAGAAAACAAGAAACAAATGTCAAAAATACAACGACCCTGAACGAGGAAGACGTGTCTGCCCCACACTTAGCTGCCCACGTAACGCCACCGTCGGCAACAGCCGTGACCAGGAAGCGCCTGGAGCCGCCAGCGTGTCCCGCGGGCGCTCCCCTGCGAATGTTAGCAGCGTCAGCCTGACTCCAGGCGTGGGGAGCTTTACATCCTTAGCTGTACCCTGAAGTGTCTTTTCTGTATTTTATTTTCATTTCTATGGTAACCTCATTCCAAAAATTCTAGATTAATGTTTTTTAATAATACAGTTAAGCATTAAGAAAATGTAAGGGCTATCCATTTAATCGCCAAAAATGGCCTAATAATACATAAAATAACCATTTGGACTCGAACACATTTCCTCTCCAGTGCAAAGTGATTGGAGATGACAGTTATGTTCCCAGAAGTTAATTTTAAATTTGCAAAGAGCATCATTTTGAGACGGTACAACGCGAAGTGGTGGCTGAAGTGTGCGGCCTGGACACGCCAGTTGGTCGCCATCTCTCCCCACGATTCCCTCACCCGGCGTGGCTCTCAGCGGGAGAACCTCTCAGAGGGTTTCTAAGGAACCGAGATCCCCGCGGGAACCAGCGGTGTCCCTGGTGCCGCCCGCAGGCCCAGCTGTGACCCTGGGCGCTGGGTGAGGGCACGATGACTGCCTTTTCCTGTAACGCCTTCCGGGGTGAAATCACACACACACACACACATCCGACTGGCCCCTCAGTCCCCTTGCCTAGAAAGGGAAAAGAATACATACTTGTCGCCAAGGGGTAGAGAAAACAGAAGAATCCGTATCTGTCTCACACATACACACACGGACGCGTCAACTCTAGGTAACCGGGCAAGATAAAGCCCAAACATGGCGAACTTTACTCCGTGGAGCCCAGGGGGCCCCGGAGGCGCCCAGGC